GTGCTGGCAGAGAGTGTCTGGAGAAGCTGTGGCTGCCCCATCCCTGGCACTGTTCAAGGCCAGGTTAGACAGGGCTTGGAGCAACCTGATCTAGTGGAAAGTGTCCCTGCCCGTGGCACAGGGTTGGAACTGGATGGTCTCCAAGGTCCCTTCCAATCCAAACCATTCTGTGATCATCCACAGAACAATAGTTTGGCTAAAGAAGTAAAATGACTACACACTCATCTAGAACAAGAACTCTACAACTTATTTTAGAATTTGTTATGAATTCCTGGATTGAAAATTACAAGCATCTGCCAGAAGCAGCACAGCATATTTGGGGGCTGAGGGTGAATTCCCACTCCAAAACGTACTGAGGTATAAACGCCTTTAAAAAAATCTGGTAGACAGTCACTTATAAAACCTTATACAGACTGAAGCTTTCGAGCTTCCCAAGGGAGGGGTGGGAGGTGGGGGAGACTAATCTGTAATTTCTTCCAAGATAAAAATACACAGCACCTGAAAAAGCTCAGCAGTACACTAAAATAAAATAATAATAAAAACTCCAAACAGCACAGATAGCCTCATCTTTAACAGCCAACAGGTCATACCAGGTATCCCTCACTATTTTCACAGCATACATGGTAGTTCAGCTGATATGGGGCACCTTTACTTAACCACTGTAAAGGTAATACAGAGCTGGTATTATGTGATGCAAATCCTCTGGTTAAACTTGGTTATTTTTGTTATTTGTTACTGAACTTTACTGTCAGTAGAAGCCAGTCCCACCAGGGGAGCCCTGTACAATATGCCAGCACTTTTTACTCCTGCCTAATTCTGTGCAGAGTCTTGTTTCCTCTCAGAAAATGACCTACATACACAGTAGAAAGATGCTACCAGGAACACTACATATGTCACATCCAAATACAGCCTTCAAAATAAAAACACTACAGATATTTTGAGTACAAAGCTCACACTGTGAAGATACATCATGCACTAGCAAAGACGGGGGTCAGAGAGAAGACAAGACACTTAACCAGCCAGTTAGGTCCATCTCATTGCAGACCTTGCAAATGAGTGCATGCACACACAGTCCAAGAACTGGTTTCACCAGAGCTTGGGTAGTGTGTGCAACGCCTAAGCCGCACGTTGAGTAAGAAAACAAAACACTGAAGAGCTGATCATTAATTGAGCACCATCTATTCTGCATGCTGAACAAGGCAGGGGAATCTAATCATCCAGCTAATGACTGTACATTAAGATAGAGATCAACTTTGCACAAGCAAGCTTAATCCTGTCGCTTCCTGAACACTGTGTAGCTCAGACAGCTTTCTTTCCACAGCTGGTACACCAGTGTTCTCGAAAAAAGTGATCTGAACAGCACACTACCTGAAACACCATGTCAACAACCACGTACATCCTGAAAACCTTCAGCATCCTCAGATGACAGAAGGATAAATTGCTCCCATTGCAGACTGGCAAACTGCTGAAACCCATCTGGCTGATGGGTTCAGACAACTGACTGCAAAATTAGGACACTGGACTGATCACAGTCTAAGAAAGAAGTGACTTTGCCGACATAGGTATTTATTATAATTCCTTCTTAATGTTTAGTTCCAGTGCTTCTCTCCATCTCTCTTCTCTCTACTAATTCAGTAGAATTAGTTCTTATCTTTGCTGTCTCAATTCCAGCTTGTCCTCAGGCTTTGGTAGGACAGGTCAAAGATGAGCCAAGTGAAGAAGTGGCTTTCCTACCAAGCATGTGAACTACTGCAGCCAACACAGGGCAAAACTATGTTGGCACTCAATCCCGTACCAAGTGTGGTTGGTCACCCGTCAGCAACAGGGTAAGGCCTTCAGCATTATCAGAAGCAAAAGGTCCATATATGCTTTGTACCAATGACATTTTTCCTAGCTAAGCTCATTGTAACACACGACTGAAGACGTGATCCAATTCCCTACATGTCTGAATTTTACCCACATTTGCTGTGATGAATATCTGTCCCAATGTTGCATTCCTGACATGAGGTTCAGTCAAATTCCTAAAGAGTCAAGGACACCAGAGATGCTTGGGAAGGGGTGGGTGTGGAAGAAGGAATGATGGCCATAACCTTTCCTTAAGCCATTTTGCCTGATGCTGTCACAAACTGAGTATTTAGAAATTCAGACCTGAAAAGGTCTCAGCATATCCTAAGCTCATGCTGAATGTGGCTTTTTTTTTTTTTTTTACTGCATTCCCTATATTTTGTATTTACACTAGGGAGGAGAGCGTAACTGGTTCCAACCATAAAAAACTATATTCTACATTTGCAATAAAAGAGGACTTTGGCTTGTCCTTGAGAGAATGTCTTTATTTTCCAGAAATATCTCCTGTAATTGCTGGGGAGAAAAGTTTTCTATCTCAAAACAGCTGTATGGTGAGAAATAGACAAGACAGACAAGTGAGAGATGTTCCTCATTTCAGCAAATACCCTGCGCTTTTCATCCTTGAGAGTTTAACTGTAGCCCTTTATAAATCACATTCATGAGAAAGATGGCTGGTTTCTCACATGGACACTGTTAGCACAAATCCACCCTGTACCAGCAAAGGCAGATCAAAGTCCCATAGGTAACCATCACTGCATCTCATCTACTTTTACAGCACCACAAAACTGCTTGTAACACAGTAATTACTTTATTAAACGCAAGCAAACACATATTTCTGGAGTAGATCTCTTGATGTGCAATTGGCAAAGAGCTACAGAAAGAGACCTCAAAAATGTATAAAATTAGACACAGCTAAGCAATTTTTAGCAGTTTGCAGACAGGAAAGCATCACACCATTGCGGCAGTTGACGCTGTCTCTGAATTGTCACATTACTGAGCGACCTCCTTACACCAACAGTAAGAGGTTCTTGCCCACTGTGGCCTGTAAAATGACAGTCAGAGGGCTCCAAGACAAGAAAAGGAAGAAACTGGTTAAAAGTTCCACCAGTTCCTAATGCTTTCATTAAATTATGCAGGCTCCCTCTGGTGGGGGATTCAATGTGGAGACTGTTGCAGTTAGCTGTATGTGAACAGGTTTGAACCACATTTTTTCTTTTGTAAAATGAACCTTGTTAGGATTGGACTCCACGCTTCTTGGAGTCTCTTGTGATGCTTCAGTGACAGCAACTTAAATTAATGCTTTGTTTCTGGTAAAGAGCAGCAACCACTGATAAAAAGGAGAAAATATCCTATTTTTTTAATCAGTGTCTTTGTGCTCCAAAATCCTCAGAGCATTTCTCAGTCCTTACTTCACTCTCTGGAGCCCCAGCAGAACCACCACCTCTGTCCCCAATGTGGAAAGAGGCCAAAGACAGACCCACAGCACACAAGATCTAAGGCTGTACGGAAGAAGAAACCCTAGCTCCCAATTTCCATTTCTGTGGTCTATATGTTTGTTATATTAAACATCGAGTCTCGACTCCCTCCAACACCACCAATGCCATTTATTTGCACATTTATAAGACAATCCCAAGATTGTCTGATGCCTTACTGTCTTATGCCTATGTATCTCTACAAGACACACATACGAATCAAGCAAACCATCCACCTTTTCCTTTCTCTTCCCCCAGAAGTTGTCAGTGTAACCAGTTACAGTCACCAAAGAACATGAGAAGCTTTTAAAACACAAGAATACCACAAATTTGATATTTCTAGTATCTAAGACTAAACACATGTGTTACGTATGGCCATCAAAATACCTGTTCTGCTACCTCATAGACAAATGTAGTTTTCTTGTCCCCTGAACATTGTAACAAATGTTACCAACATTCTGCAGTCTCAATTACTGATAAACATAAATGCAGAGAGGCAGCATTTAAAAAATTAAAAAAGCACACTCCCAACTCGGGGTAGAAAAACTGCAACCTGAAGATGTCTTTTACTGCACAGGGAAACCAGCACGAGCCCTTCCAAGGACGGAGTCAGTTTTATTTCTGACAGCCCTTGTTATGCATCACTAACTTTTCTTCCTCAATAAGACCACAAAGTGCATCACAGTAAGCGTGCTGTAGCAAGCCAGAGAATTCAAAGGATTATTCAATACTAAGAAGAACTTTGCTATGTACAGGTCTAATTCTCTCTAGAACAAGTCTAATTCTCAATTTGTTCTCATGCTTTGATAGGAAGGGCTGCAAGATCACAATAAGGAAGATTTACTTTTTTTTTTTTGGGGGGGGTGGGATCTGAATAACCTCACACAGCGTATCTCGGCTGCTGAGTGTAATTCAAATCACTGCCTGACAGGATGGCAGCTGAAGAGCAACCAAAATTCAGGGTATATTTAGGATTTAGCCGGCACCAAAACTAGTCTCAAAGGTGAGAGCAAACACTCCCCATCACTTCAACTTCTTTGGGACAACTATAAAGTTTTACCAGAACGTACTGCTTGCAAGTTATGCAAAACATGTAGAAAGACAGCTTAAGTGTAACGACTTGCGTTCAGTTCTGTGGGATGCTATCAATGCAATCCAAAGCAGGTGTCATCTCATTTAACCAGAGACTGCTACCTCGTTTTGTCTCAGAAGCATTCCTCTAGTGCCCAACGGAAAGCAAAAGATGTACAGGGAACCAGAAGAGAGGTTTTTACAGTTCAAAGAGACGGGTGATTTTCTCTTTCCTGACTTCGCAGAACCCCCCAATGCACAGCTCACTATGAACTGCTGACACCGACAGACCACCCTACAGATGAATTTGCAGAACGGATACGAGACCTCCTCGTAGTGAAACCAGGCAACTCTCCTCTAACGGGCCCGAGCTACACCACCTGTAAGCAGAGCCGAAGGAGGACAAGCGCACACACACACACCACTCACACTCTCCCTTCCCGCACGCCGCCGCAGCCCCTTACTTGTAAGGCAATGGGGGCTGCCTTACATAAACGGGCTGTGGGCGCGCAGGGACCGGCGGGTTTTAGGTTCAGTTAAACCCGTCGGGGTCTGTGCCTCGGCACCGGGCTGCAGCAGGCGCAGCCCGGGGAGCGCGGCGGGTGCACTCACCGATGCCCAGCCCCACCACCACGCGTCCCCCCAGAAGGGTCTCCTTGTCGCGGGCGGCCGCCAGCACGCCGGCCCCCGCTATGAAGAGGCCGCTGGCCAGCAGGATGCAGGGCCGCCGACCGCACAGCCCGTTCAGGACGCCGCCGGCCAGGGCGGACAGGGCGGCGGCGCCCACCGTGCTGGAGACGAGCAGCTCCTGCCAGAGCGCGTCCAGGTTGAGCTCCCTCTTCAGGAGGAGCAGGGCCCCCGACACCACACCGGTGTCGTAGCCGAAGAGGAAGCCCCCCAGGGCGGAGAAGACCGACACCACGTAGACGAAGCCGGGGGTCTCGTCCTGCTGGAACTGCCGCCGCGCCGCCCGCTCCAGGTCTCCGCCCGACGCCGCGCTGTTGAGGCTGGAGCACGACTCGGCGGCGATAAGGCTCCGCTCGCCCGCCGCCGCCGCCACGCTCGAGCCGGCGGACCCGTCCGCCTGCCGCCGCCGCTTCTCGCCCATCAGGTTGCTCAGGCTCCGCAGCGTGTACTCCACATTGTCACTGGCTTTGCGGGACATGGGACTCCTGCCCCGGCCGGGGGAGCGCAGGGGGCTGCGGCGGGCGGCTGCCGGGCGGCTCTGCCTACAGCGGCGGGGCTGCTGCTGCTGTTACTTGCTTCTGGCGCCGCCCGCCCTCGCCCCGCCCGCCCGTGTCGGGCCGCTCTCAGCCGGGTCGCATAGTGCCGGCGGCCGGACGGACCCGAGGGGAAGTTACCCGCCGCGACTGCCGCTCCCAGCGCCCGGGCGGAGCTGGAGGCGGAGGCGGGCGGGGACAGCGACGGGCACCAGGAGGCGGGCCCGGCCGCCCCCTCCCCGCTCCTCCGTGGCGCGCAGGACTGCGCAAGCGGAGCTCCCGGCGCCTGCGTACTGAGCACCGCGATGCCGCCAGCCCCGCCCGCTCATCCTCGGCGGTGCTGGCAACTGATGGGCCTGGAGCCGCCGGCCGGAGGAGGAGCAGGAGGAGGGAGGAAGAAAGGAAGAAAGGAAGAAAGGAAGAAAGAAAGGAAGAAAGAAAGGAAGAAAGGAAGAAAGAAAGGAAGAAAGGAAGGAAGAAAGGAAGAGCCGCCCCGCAAGCCTGGATGCAGCTCCTCCAGCCCGCCGCGGAGTTGCCACTGGGGCGGGGTGTGCTCCTGCGGGACAGCCCCGCCACCAGTTCAGAGGGGGTTTGCTACCTATGGAAGGGAAGTTTGAGCTTGCTGTCGTGTGTGTGCTTAAAGTAAAGCCTAGCGGTGTGATAATTCCATCTTCCAGCCGGGACTTCCACCAGGATGAGGACAGAGATAGGGCCCGGGGGTTCTGCCACCAGGAGCGGCGGTTCCTGGGGCCGCGTTCCTGAAAGCCAGCCCGGCACCCTCGGGACGCGGTGGGAAAAGGAGTCACGTCAGATGTTACCACTTGTGCTTCACTGTATGTATAACGCACACCCCGAAGTAAACAAAACTTTCCTCCTGGATTGACCGTCTTCTGTAAAGATCCCTGTAATGAAGCCAGCCGGTAGATGGAGAATTGCGGTAATTCAGTTATCCCAGCCTACACCCCTGCGAGCGGGACTAGCCACAGCCACATGAGTTTAAACATCAGAAGAGGGAGTGAAGTCCAACGTGGCCAGCTGCACACAGCGGCTGCCTCAGAGAAAGCTGTGCAGCGCCAGTGTCCGGATAGTGCCAAAGGAAAGAGTGAGCAGTAGTTACCCAAATGAATGGTAATAACAGTTGTCTGTGGAGTTAATGCAGTTAGTTACAGATGTAGCAGTCCATTTATAAGTACAATATTTATGGTCAGCCTCCATGTTTGAGTATGTGAGAAGCCTGGACTAAGTGTAAATTAAACACAGATTAACATTTAAATGTTTTTAATCAAGATTCGGATAATATGGTTTGACTGGCATAAAGCATTCCTTATTCCTATACAGACCATTAGGGCCCGACCCACTACTAGAGCAAGAAACAGTTTCAAGTTGTAACATCAGCAATGAACTTAACCTTGTACTACTAGGAACAGCCCCTCAGGTCCCTTGCCTCTCCAGGATCAGACTGGCTTACTTTGCTACAACGCCATCAGGAGAGGGAGTCTGATCTTTCAGAAGCCTCCAGACTTGCCCAACAAGTGCAGCAGCGCTCAATAGTTTTTATATGTAACCCCTAAACGAAAAAATGTGGGACAGAGTGCATTAAACACAGAATATTCACACCAAATCCCTAGCCAGCTAGAGGGAATGCTTTCACGGAATGTTGTCACAACAGCTGGCTCTCACAAAAGCAACCTGTCCTTTTAACAGCCAGCTCAGAAGCTGGAGGCAGTCTGTGTGTTACAGTTAACAGACTCAAGAGAAGTAACAAAAAGCTGCTTTCCCCCGCTCTCCCCCCAATTGCTGGCCTAGCACAATAACAAGCAAATGTCACTTCTCATCAGATCATGCATCAAGCTTCTCTCTTAAAAGATTCCCTGAAGAAATACAACAAAGAAGTTCAGCTGTGGGATGCATTCCACTGAAGACCGACTTCATGATAAAGAGGGAGGATTTGTTTGGCTTGTGTGTGGTTTTTCATTACTGTGGTCAACTCCCCCTAGTACTGGATTTCATTGTAAGAGCTGAGTTATGAATGATTCCACAGTAATGCAACATATAGTAGGTATCAGTAGCTGAGACGGGGACCAGATCCAACAAAGGGTTTGGATAGATTTTAGGCATGATGTTACACTTTCAAGAGATGACATGTTTAATTGAAGCACTGTTTAGATTCACAGCACTGCCTCATTCTCTCCTTTAAAGTGCATTTGCACAATTGTTTGACAGGTGATGTTGTGAACTAGATCAAAGAACTTGTCCAGCTTTAAGAAACTCAGTTGCTTGTGGTCCAGCCAGAGAGCAGGAATGATTACAGAATTTTACTGCTTTTATACTGCTAATACACGGTATACATCAAAAAATGTCTTCCAGAAGCTACTGAGTGATCTGTGCATGTGCCCAGAACTCCCCCAGACCTGAACAGCCAGGTGCCAGCTCCTTCTCTGCGCTGGCCAGGTGGATGAGTGCCTGCATCTCCTGGAGACTTCAACCAAGGCACATGATGAGATGCTGGAGGTTTTTGAGGTAGCTTGATGGTTGATAGCCTCAGCCAGGAGGCAGGAGGCCCAAGTCACAGACTTGCTTCAGCGCAGAAGGATTTACTTCTCTTTCTTGCCTCTCAAGAAGACTGTAGGTTAAATGGGGAAAAGATGGATTCTTAACAGGAAACTGGGTTGCTGTGCAGACAAGAATGTAAGAGCCATGGGACCAGATGGACAGCGAGGCAGAAAAGGGTCTGGATGTATGGCAGAAAAAGGTGCAACTTTGTCAGTGCTGGTTATGTTCTTTACATGAAGCCATGGTTGCATCAAGAAAGGGAATGATACAAGGAGCAACTCCCCAAACCAAGAATTCTTCCCATCTCATTCAGTGCTGAGGGGGAGAGCATGAGGGCTTTAGCCTCCCATGGGCTTTAGCAATATATTTTCACAATATTGTGTTTTTAGGCACCTAAACTAACTTCTTCTTAGTGTTATGATGCCTTAAACTCCAATAAGCAACCTGCCCTGATACATTATTCTGCCACAAGCAGAGCTGCTGTGTAAGTTGAGTAATACCACTATGCTGGGCTGAGGGAAACAACCTAGCTGAATATGCAAAAAAAAAAAAATCAGCAAATCCTGTTTATAGCAGCAGTTTGTATAGTGTCTGACACCTTCTCTCTACACAGAATTACATGTTATCAGTGTGCTGAGAAATACGGAATACAAAATGTATTTCTTCCCTCTGACCAGACACAAACTCTGATCCTGGATCACACCCATTTCTTAAGCACATATGTACTGGTAATGCGAGGTTGAGACTGTAAGGAACACTCTAGTTTCAAAAATAAAAACAGAAACTGCAAATAGGAATTTAACTCTAGAAACTATTTGAAATAAGTGTGTATTGCCTGAAAACTTCCTGTTGTTCCATAGTTCATCTATTCTTGCAGCATTGTTTGGTCTCTTTGGAAAGAGGATGGTTTCAGATACAGTTCGTGGTTTTCTGATCCTCATACGACATTCCTCCTCCATCCGTTTTCACTATCTAGACAGAGTTGTTCACTTATCTGAATGTATCTCTCTCAGCTCCCACTGCAGTTCAGATGTTTGTGATCCTTCCAGTGTTTGCATTGGGTTCTCCTTTATACACACAGATCCTGATTAGACCCTATTCCAGTATCTCAACAAAAGTCTCCCTTCAGATACACAAGCTCTCCGCAATTGGATGCTGTTAGGTGGGACTTTAAATCCTGCCTGGCCTGGCCTGCAGGGTGACTTTTAACCAATCATTTAACCCCTACCTTGGCTATCTGAATTTGTATCCTTTGTTCACCTCTGCTGTACTATCCTTTCAAAATGAAAGTAACGTTGGAATTTGAGTAAGGAACCTACCAACACCATGCATTTAATCCTACTGCTCAAGTGTTAGGAGATAAATTGCTTAACAAATAGAAAGTGTTACAGTATTAGTACTGGAAAAGTGTGAGGATAATGGTGCTTGTAGGAAGCTGACATATTTGGCTCCAGTGGGATTTGTTTGATTCTGGTGGTGCCCTGCCACATCTCACAGCCAGCACGTACTGTGCTGCAGGGACTAGGGCTGGAGCTGCTGCAGCTTAGAGTTAGGTCTGGGAAAGAACCCTGGGAAGGGGACAGTGAGCAGCCCTGGGAGCAAAATTGAAGGATGTTGGTGGCCCTACATGCAGCAACCAAGGGACTGTCAGGGCAGAGCAGTGCTCCCAGCCGCCCTAGTGCTGCTGAAATCCACCCCCAGCTATGGGCACATTGGTGCAGCAGTTTGCTCAGATGAAATCTCTGGCACGGTCACCTCCATGGGGACACCCCTGGGCAGTAATATCATCCCCAGCAGCAATATCCACCCCAGCAACTCTGCTGCCCCCCAGCCAATGCTTTCAAGTGACTGAGGAGCTGCTCACCCCCAGCTGCACTATCCCAGAGACCACCAATGCCAAACAGAGCCTGGAAGGATTCAACACCATCAGGATGGAGCCCCATGGGGGGTTGTGGAGATGGACGTGGCACCGTCCCAAGTTGCTGGAACAGAGAAGCGGGGAATGAAGCAGGATGGGAGCACCTTGCCAAAGCCACCCATCAACCACAGGGCTCTTGCAGCCAGCCCAAGGGTGTAAGGGGAGGAATAGACCAGAGCAGGGGTGAGGGGGATGGGGGGAGTGGGCGGAGGGCAGAGGGGAGGAATTGAGGGGTGAGAGTGTTACAGTAGTGTTAATGAGTGTTTTTTTTCTTGTTTTCATTAAAAAAGAGTTCTCCAGAACCACTCTGTGCCTGTGTGGGATGGGGAGGGAGTGCAAGGGGCACCGGGAACTGGTGCAAAAGAGGTGCAAAAGCCAAGGCAAGGTTACAGCCTACTTGCCCCTGCTTTTGAGATGTTTATCTGCCTTAATGGCATCCCCTCTCAGTCTTCTTTAGACTAGCAGGCCCAGTTCCCACAATCTGCCCTCATGAGAGAGATGCTCCAGCCCCCTGATCATCCCTGTGGCCCTCCACTGGACCTTGCCTCTTGTACTGAGGAGCCCAGCACTGGACACAGAGTTCCAGACAGTCAGTCCCCATCTGCTGGGTCAGATCCCATCCATCGGCCCTCAGCCACAGCAACGTCAGAAGTGGGAACAGGCGTCTTCAGAGGTGTCAGTCATGGGAGCAGCAATGGAGCTTTTTT